TACAGGTAGGAAGTACGAAATAATTGGATGTTATAGAAGCTGGATATTCTGTAGAACAAATTCGTAATACGAGGCTACTAATATTATAAAAATTAATGAGTGCCAGATATTAAATCAGTATTTTCCCGAAGAAAATTTTGTATTTCCGACAATATATGCGAAATTCGAAAACTTTTTATAAAAAGCAATATGTAGAAAGTGTCGTTTTTAATAACAAATTTTATTCCAAAACCCAAAAAAATACGACTAAAAAAAACTGACGAGAGTATTGGTGGTAGAATATTTTTTCCTAGGAGCGATTTACGTACAAATTTTATTGTTCAGCTTAGTCGGATGTGAATATGATATCGAAGCATTATTAAAAAAACCAAATATGTTAAAAGGAATGTCTTTATTGATCTGGAAATAATTTGAGTTTCCTATTTTCAACCAAATTTTGAAAGTGTTCTAAACTTTGTTAATTAAATTTTATAATAAAAATTATTTAATACGAGTTTTCCCTTTTCCACCTATTTTAGTATCTCAGGTAAAATTGTTTTAATGGATGAATCCTTATTCATAAATTAAACTTACTGAGCTCCAATTATTTTTTTTTATTTCAATCGAAACAGACTATTTTACAACCGCACAATTTTTTATATTAATTTTTATTTTCTCAGCAACAACTATGACTATAAAAATAATTTATGTAACAAAATTCACCATTTTACTCAAAAACATGTGCGAGAAAGCGAGAGGGTCACTAATTTCCATTTTTATTACAACCATGTGATGGTGTTGCTAGAAAATAATAGTTGTACAATAAAAACGACACCATGAACAGATAAAGCAGCCCGATCTAACGGAGTTTTCAGGGTAGTATTAAACCCACTTTCTGTTCATAAATTAAGCTTCGATTCGGATTCCACATACAGCTCCTTTCCAGCTAGTGTTACTAGAAAATTGCTCGGCAGCCTATTTCGATGGGTACGTGTTGGGACAGCATAAACGGGGGATAAAAGTCCGTCAGGATTTCGATTCCCTAACAAATGTTTGTACATCTCCGGACTACCAAGCGGGCTTCCTACGGGAAAAGTGGTCGCGCAGCCTCAAAGTAGACTCGATGTGCGATAGGTCTATTACAGAATTTTTTTAACCGTAATGTAAAGTTTTGGTCAATATTTAATTCATCGTGAAATTTGCTGTCGAGCTTTTCGCAGTTCAAAGGCAGTAAGTTGATTTTGCAGTTCAGTTTACGACGATAAAAAGAAAATACACGTAGAAAACCGCGTTGTCTCGTTTTACATATTTGGCGCCCAACGTTGGGGCAATTTTGTCACCACGATTCATAGACTATTAAAATTGCAGTGTATGTAGTAATTTCTAATAAAAATTGTAGAGTTTAATTGTTTGCGATGCCTCACTGACCCAACCTACTAACACTATGTATAGTGTAAATACTTTTCAGATCGTAGGATGACATAAATTGAAGGAAATATTGACCATTGTATTTTAAATATTAATAATTTATGATTTGTCATATTCTTTTATTTCTTTCTAAGCTAGGCTGTCATGTCATGGGAAATGTATTCGTAGCACAGAGAATAAATGTGGAAATAGCCTTGTAAATGTCATTTGGAAATAAATCCATCGTGTCGCAGGACTTTTCCTCTGGGAATACCTATGTCACATTAAATATGTACATATACGTGCCTATAGCTGTATTATGTTGTGTCGTACATTGTAACTTCTTTGTTGTACAACTTTTAGTGTTCAGTAATTCCCTTTGGAACAATTTACGACGCTATTTGCGGTGGAAGACAAAATTTATAGGTTTTTGCTGTTTTATGAATCATATTCCTATTTTAAAAACTAATACACTGTCTTGTTAGCTGCGGGAACAGTTATGGACGTTACTCATTTTTAAACATTGCACTTTTACGAAATATGTATACTTACATGATTTGTATTTTTCTGGAATGACTACATTTAATATCTACTGGAAGTGTCATATTTTTATTGCTTTTCCTGTTTCGTTATAATTTTTAAAACGTAAATCGTAGCGATCCGAAAATACATATTTGATCAATTAATTATTGTTAATTAATCCTGACAGCAGTGGCGTCTCTGAACAGATTCATGAAAATGATGGTGCTGTTTAATTGCCAAATTGTGTTCTGGATTAAATATTGGCCTTAACCTTGACCCGTTCAATTGGACGATTCATCACGCAATGACAGGTTCAAGTTACTGTAATTTAGGTTTGTCGGTTGGGAATTTTGCTAAATGAAACTGTCATTTTGTTCTGCTATCAAATGAATTACGGGAAACGGTATATTTTCGAACGCCTCGGATTTTGTTTAGGCGCAATGGATACACATTCGTCTGTTCCTCAAAAATTTGGCTGAACGTCGCTTTAATTTGATGTCAAAACATAACAGTTTATCACATGCGTCGATACCAATAAAATTTGTAATTCAATTTTTATAGATAGCTTGTTGAAATTTTTGTAGTATTTTTCCTGATATTTGTAACAATTAAGCTTCAAAGTACTACAAAAGAAAAACACCGTTCGATAAAGTAACAAATCGACATGACACTATTTTTTAATACAAATGACTCAGTATGTAAAACTATAAAAGCACTTCATAGCAATGTACAGTACAATTTGAATACTGCAGTAATTTATTTTTTTTTGCGTGATAGATTCAAACGAGAGATGAATGTTTGAAAATGTGCGGTCCTGTTTCGATTTGCGGTAAAGAAAAAGTCGTCCCTGTGAAGTCTCTTATGAAAATAATTTTTCCGTACTAGTAGGAAATGTTATGTTATTTAAAGCATATTACAAATACGCTTTTTATTGTCGAAAAAAGCTGGCCTAAGAGAATAAAATCGATGAATTAGACTTTGAATGCTCTGCCGATTTGAAATACATCCGGTACAAGTTTTGATAAGCCGATTACCACCTGAATATCCGATTCGTGAGAAACGTTACAGTTGGCAATATTTTTAACGGTTTACAGTCGAGAAAAAAGTTGATATCCTGCAGAAGGTTTAATACATTTTCCGCGCGTGTTGAACCTCTTAAACGCGATTATTTTATAACTCTAAACTACCACAAACATAGTTGGAGTTACGCGAAAATTTCATAAATCTTAAAATGACGTGTAGCGCGAAAAGTTAAACTGAAAATATGGCGTCGTTTAAACCTGACTTTTGACTCGGGTCGGTGCGTAAAAAAGTTTATGGAAATGTACGGCATAATCTTCCCTTTCCTACGCTTCTACATATCTACACTGGTTTCTATTTTTTTAGTATCCGCAGGAAAAAAATGGCGATATCTAAATCGGAACCGGTTTTAATCGCCCGCGATTTCTCCCGGCTTATAACGATTTAAAGTTAAGTGTCGTATTTGGGATTTTACGGCCGAGTAATGCCATAATCCAAACTGGGAGCGATACGCCTTAACCCGTATCTCCTACTTATCGCTGTCACCATTCCGCCTCGCTAACGATCAAGGATACAATGGAGGATCGGAATCAGCGCAGCCCAGCTTCTCATTTTCGCAACCCCATTGTGTCGGAACGGAATTCTGCACGACGCGGCGGTCTTCGGTAATCTTCCGTATTTTTTCCATCGTCAGATGGAAATTCGCTCTTTAGAGCGCATCGCAAAGTTGTAGCTGAAATCCAGGGACATTTTAATAATGCCTTAATAAAAGAATCATTACTATTAATTTTTACTTCAATTTAAAGACCGTGTCTGTGTTATTAGATATTATTATGAAGTCATTCAAATTAGGATATTGCAAAAATAAAAATAGCACCGAATTTAACATGCTGGAACTCAAGAGATCATGGTCAAATTGCGCAGAACTAGTCAGTTTTTGTATCATCAATTTATTTTGATCAAACAAATTCGTCTTAAATCTGATAGCCTGACGCGAGCGAATGTAGCCGATAACAAATCTGTTCGTCACAAAAGAAACAAGCTTCCGTAATTATTCCGTAATATTCCGGAATGCAGTCGTGTAGAGCTCGATAGCTCAGTATGCGATGATTTAATTTGCCGTTCAATCCCGACTGACAAGTTGCTCGTTCTTGCATCTAACGATTTCCTCGGTAGCTGCCACCTGGAATATAGCATTAGACCGGATTGAGGAAGCCGTATGCAATCAAGTCGACATTGAAAACCTATTTTCGCTTCGCGCAGCTACATAGTTTGCTCATTTCTCGGGTGTCGCCGTATCTCCAGGATCTAGTAGGAATTGAGTTATGTGACAAAGCAGGTAATAATGTGTGTTGTCAGTCAATTATGTCACAGCTATACGCAATAGCCGCAGCGCCGATTGTGAATAGGCAACTTGATTGAAAGTCTATAACCGACAACTAACAGTGGTAATAAAAATTAATTCCATTAATGCTACAAATTAACTGTATGTCTAAAATCATATAAAAAATTTAAATTTGTGACATGATTAAGAACGTATTATGAGGTCATTCAGTCCTGTAAGAAAAAGGGACATTGTCGAGCATAAAATACAGAGAAAAAGTACCGTATCGAAGTTCGACCAGGTTTCGAAGCGTTCGCGTTAGGAAGGCGATCAAACGTCGACTTGCAGTTATATAACCAGGGACAGTCCCTGGCCAGTACTTATGACGTACGATTGTTACTGTTTCGTTATACTGAGTATTTAAGAAATATGGTTACTATGTTGGCTCTCTGGAACCTGGGGAATGAGTGATTTTCGGAATTTTTTCTCCGGGAACGACGTATTATGGTTCTGCAATATCTCGGTCGTTGGAGCAGTTCTCACTCTGTAGTGCGGTTTAACGTTTGAACTATCGCCCGGGCCGAAATTTGAGTTTACTCGCAGTATTTATACGACAGTCTTATTTTACCATTAACGACATAAGATTCTTTTCATGGCCTCGAGAAAGTCGGAACCTCGGCAAACTCCCAAAGAAACTATCTCTGTCTGCGGTAATCTATTATTTCTAACACAAGTTTCGTCCTTGCAGGAACAAGCCTTAGATGCCAAGCAGCAGGCCGCTTCTCCGGAGGACACGGAGGACCTGTCGCCGCTGCCGGCGCACGCGCAGCAGCCCGTGCGGCGCCGCGGCGGCATCTCCGCCGAACCCGTCAGCGAGGAGGACGCCACCAGCTACGTGAAGAAGGTGGTGCCCAAGGACTACAAGACGATGGCCGCCCTCTCCAAGGCCATCGCGAAGAACGTGCTCTTCTCGCACCTCGACGAGAACGAGCGATCGGACATCTTCGACGCCATGTTCCCCGTAACCTGTCTTCCGGGCGAGGCCATCATCCAGCAGGGCGACGAAGGGGACAACTTCTACGTCATCGATCAGGGCGAGGTGGAGGTAGGCATAGTTTTCTTTAATTTTCCGCGCGGACTGGTGATTACGGAGGTGTTATTGAGTGTGGGTGAGATATAACCTAGAAATGACCAGATGCCTTTTAAGGTTTTACTGGAATTTGGTACACTAATTCTTCCATACAGATGTCCCTTTATGACGTAGTAAACGAGGTAATTGGATTAACAGAACTGTCCCTTTCCTTAAACTAACCCGTGTTTTTAATTTAACTCCCCCCCCCATAAAAAGGGGGTACGCACAGTTTTAATTTTTTATTAAGGGGTACAGTCTTTGAAAAAGATTGAGAACCCCTGCTCTATAGGGAACGTTCTATCCAAATATATAAAAATATACAGGGTGTTCCATTTAACTTAATAGAGTTAACAGCCGCGGCCATTTTGTTTGGAATTCATTTGTTTTTCCACCATCACTTTCGAAAAATACATAAAAAATCGTGCAACTTTTATATTTAACATTTTTTTATAACTTAAAACAAAAAAGTTAAAGGGGGGGTCAAAATATAGTGAATCATCCTGTACTAAATGATGTTACAAGACCTTTATAAAGTTATTAATTTTTTTTGTCATCTCTTATTACGCTGTAGTGGTTAAATGAAGCAACACAGGATCGTTTCAACAAAATAAAAACTATTATTATTACGAAAGGGAGAAGTATATTTTATTCAGATTTCGACCAGGCTCCACTGACAAACATCTCTTAATATTGTATCTATTCCACGTCATATAAGTATCGAGAAGTCTATACAGTTTTGTAATCCGATTCTAGGTATATGTGAATAACGAACTGGTAACGACAATAGGCGACGGCGGAAGCTTCGGAGAACTTGCTCTCATATACGGCACTCCCAGGGCTGCCACGGTTAAGGCCAAGACAGATGTAAAATTGTGGGGTATCGACCGAGACTCCTACCGAAGAATTCTCATGGGTTCCACGATAAGGAAGAGGAAGATGTACGAGGAGTTCCTGTCCAGGGTTTCCATCCTAGAAAATTTGGATAAGTGGGAACGACTTACGGTGAGATCTTAACGTTGATTAAATCTATTATTATGTATTCCAAAAATAAGTATTTATTTTTATAGTAATTAATAGGTTCAGAACTTTTTTAACGCAGTTCTAAAACATAAGTGCTAATATATTTGCCAGTAATAATGTTTTTTCTTTAAATGGGACAACATTTTTACTCTTGTCCAATTTAACCATGGACATGCCGTGTAGTTGCAGTTTAATTACTTCGTGTGGGAATTCCTACGTCTTTTCGAATGCATTTCGCGCGTTATTAGAATTATCGATTTTTCCCTTCACCATGGGCTAAACCGTTGATATCAGATGCTCAACACATGGCACCGACGGTCTAACTCAACTTGTTCAAAAACATTGCTAAATTTCATGAGGCCTTCTCCGAAGGACGGCTTTGCAAATTTATTACTCCCGGTGACAAAAGGCACTGGTCTCTCGACGACTTTATGGCGACGCTAAACCTACTTGAAAACCCTTAACAATTATTGTTGACTGAAATATTTTACTGTCTGATCCGTTCCTAGAACTAACAAATAAACTACCAACTCCTATAACTTCCTGTATCGTCTTTTAGGTGGCAGATGCTCTAGAGCCCGTCAGTTTCGAGGACGGAGAGACGATCGTACGTCAGGGCGAGCCCGGTGACGATTTCTACATCATCGTCGAGGGCACGGCCATCGTCAAACAGAACAGAGCCGAGGGCGAGGAGCCCACTGAAGTCGGAAGGTTAGGACCCAGTGATTATTTCGGGGAAATAGCCCTTTTACTCGACAGACCGAGGGCGGCCACCGTCGTGGCTTGCGGGCCATTAAAATGTGTCAAACTAGATAGGGCTAGGTAAGTTACACCGTGTCACGTTAAAAAAGATTTATGATTCGGGTAATTTAATTTTTCTACTAATTTTTTTTTACTTGTTCCAGATTTGAGAGGGTTCTCGGCCTCTGCGCCGACATACTGAAGAGGAATATAACGCAGTATAACAGCTTCGTGTCACTTTCCGTTTAAACCACGTAAATTAATTGCAATATTCCTTTTTCATGAACTGAATCTTCAGCCAAATTGTAAGTCTTCACTTTCGATAGAAATTTTAATTTTTCGTTTTAAGATTTGCCCGTTATTTATTTATTGTTGAACGAGTGCTATCAACGTAACAGAACAAACATATTTTTATACTTTTAGACATTTTCAGATCTGAATGCGAAACACCCAGAAAACACACAGTTTGATAGCACTTTGGAACTAATCTATTTAAATTGTTATTGAATGTATTTAAAAGGAACTAATATATTGTATATATTTAAAATGTTTTCTTCCATTAAAAATATACTTTAGTTACGTAACGTAATAATAAATTTATTACAGAAAAGTTGTTTCACCTTTTACCCCTCCCTGTGAAGTCCCCGACGATTTTTATGCATTTTTTTAAGTTGCGGCAGCGAATTTCAATACAGGCGAGGTCGTTTTTTTAATTTTTAACCCTTTCATGTGGGGCGGGGAAGAATATTACCGTAACATATAATTTCATTCGGTTACAAATTCTTTTGGATAATTGTAAAACCAAGGGCGATTAAAAATAATATTTTGAGAAAAACTATCGCATATTGCAAATTTTTGTCAATTTGTTTTTTTTTAATGTGGTAAAAAATGGATAGAAAATATTATTTCTGCCATAGTTTAAGAGATGAAGCTGAAGGATGTATATAACGTGCATTTTTTTAATTACTGTGCAACTGGAAATTATACTGCGCGTTCCACGATTTTCTCCCGAAGAGGGAGAACTTTTTTACTTGCAAATTTAAAGAGAAATTGTCATTCTTCATAAATTTCCTGCTGGGGCGTTTCATTTCGGAAGACGTTAAGATTTCAAAATTCAAAATAACTGCCATGTTCGGTGTGCAGCAAATAAAACTCCTTTTCAACAGTAAATAGCAGTATTTTTATTGAAAACTAAGTGGAGAGAAAAAGCTATGTTGTTGGGGCAAGGGTTTGCTGGAGTCATCTTGGTGTGGAATTGTTCGCAGGTATATTAGTAAGTATCTGGTCGCTGGCGCCGGTCTGCCGTGGACCTTTCCTGGAACTCTGGTGCGTCCCGCTTTGTCCTTGCAACTATTAGACCAGTCCGTGCAGCGTGGGTCAATTGCAGACATGTGTACCACCAATGTCTGATTTGCAAGAAAAGTTTAATTTGTTGTCGTTTTCTACGATACCCTATAATTTTTTTGTTTGTGAAAATCTTGGATGTTTATGAGGGTTTTTACACAGTTTTTTTATGTAGAATCAAGCAGCATTCCCTCTTCTATAATTTCTAGTTCTTTTAGTTATATTTTTCTATTTTTTGTCTGCGTCATATTTCCTTTCAAACGATGTATTACAACATATTTACAAGAAAAATTTCGTTGAAGGAATAAATGCAAAAAAATATTGTTATTCGACTGTTTCACGAGAGTTAAGTATGCCATGGATGTATTTGACAGATCGATAAAAAAATTTGAAATGTATCAAGAAATAATTGATTTACACAATAATTTTTGTGGTTTATACCATGAAAAATCGCAAATTAACGATTGCTTGAATTTGCTAAGCGGCTACATTAATTTTTTGAAGTTAATCGTCTCGTGTTTCTGGGTTTGGCATACACCAGTTGCTTCATAAGACCACAGTAAAAAAATCAAGCGGATTCAAATCGGGGAACCTGGGAGGCCACATAATAGGTCCATTTTTCCCAACCCAGCATTCTGATAAATGTAAATCGAGCCATGCAAATACCCGTTTTCCGTTACGAGTAGATGCTCCTTTTTTTTGGTAGTACGTTTGATTTCGCAAAGCTAATTGAACGTCATCTAGTACGCCATCAACAATATTTTCTAAAAAAATCGGTTTATTTGAATTCAAACGGTTACAATAATTTGAGGAGGCAGAATGGCTCCGTTGAAGATTCGGAGGATCATATCACATGCGGATTTTCAATGGATCAGATATGAAAATTCTTTAAATTATTTATAGCAATTCTCGTAAAAATAGTTTCATCACTTCACAATATCTTTTGATGGAAATTTTCGTTATTATCGATATTTTCTAACAACCACCTGCAAAATTGTATCCTTTTTTCAAAATCACCAGGATGTAAAGTTTGTACTTTATGTAGCTGGTATGGGTGCAGTTCTTCTCGGTCTAAAATTCTCCAGACGCTGCTTCGTGGAATACCTACTTGCGTTGATATTCTTTGGACATTGGTGGAAGGATCATCAACAACAGCAGCGATTACATTTTCTTCTAAAATGTTTGCATCTTCCAAATTACCTCTTATTCTGGTATTTCCAATTTGCCCTTTATTTGGAAATCTGCGTAGATATTTTCGTGAGGCCACCAGTGAATTTGCATCACAGAAACCGTAGACAAATACCATATCGGCATATCCGTTGTTGGAAAATTTCATAGTACTTAATATCTTGTTGTTTTGTAAATTTAATTTCTCGTAATTTCGATTACTGTAATTAATTTTGACATATACGCTTGTAAACAACTTTGTTTTTTATAATGACAGGTACCTACTACATAATAACAAATGAAATCTTTAAACGCATTTTTCTACGAATTAATGCAGATGGTACTTTAGACCCAGTTTACTCGAAAACGGTTCATTTTTAAGCTATTAAACAAGAGTACATTTTTTGCTCAGAATCGATTGCAGATTCAAGAAAACTTAATCAAATTCCATAAAAAAAGGATATGCAAAAGTTATGAAGATAAAACTTTGAGGACAAGTTGGCCTAGGCCTCCCCCGGCGTCAGATCGAAATAAGTACCATGTAGTTATAATGACGTTTAATAGATGTACACTTTACCCAAAAATTACTTAAATCCCTCAAACGGTTTTTCAGTTATTGCGGAAAGTTATTTTTTTCTAAACAACACCCTGTAACTTGGTGAGAGTGCATCGCAGAAAAATATTTTATAAGAATTTTAATCTTATTTTGGTCTGGTCTACCCTCTGGTAAATTTTTGTACGCTGACACTGGGACACCCTGTATACTCGATGTCGTAAAGTGCCATCTGGTTTCCTCTCAACCAAAGGGTCTTTCGATTTGGCAAGAATAGTAGCTAACAGCAGCTAATAGCAACTTAGAGTTACTCTGAACTGATATTAGTTGCTATTAGGTACCATTTTTGCCAAAACGAAAGCACCTCAAAACATCCAAGAAGGGAAGGGCGGCATTTTCCTCTACTTCCATGGTAAACTGGATATCTGGTTGTATTCCATTGATGTGATCCAGAAAATCTGCTACGGTGTTGCGTCCGTGGGGCTCACTAATCAATAAATCAATGGGTATGGACTATGGAATCTTAAATGATTTATGAATGTATTCCGTATGCCAATTTTTAAATAGCCCCTCCCTAGGAAAAGTCACTAAGAATATGACGGATCCTTCGAGCATATACTACTGGAGGCAGCCATTGCGAAAATTGTGGCTGAGTGTGCGCGAGAGACAGACTATATCTCGGGACTTGTCGTCTCACTCTAGTTCGCCGCGATTGCTTGGAAATGAATACTCCAACCAATCGCGGCGTGCTAGAGTGAGACAGCATGTCTGAGATACTGTCCGTCTCTCAGCCACATTTTTCGCAATGGTATGCCACGGTCCGTAAAGAGGACGTGATGGCATGCTACCACCAGTCATGATATTATACCATGCCATGACCTCCAGTAGTATAATAAACATACTGTTATTTTTCCTGGTTTTAATACTTTTGATTATTATACATCAATTTCTGATTAATTATTGTAATCCAAGGTAATAAAAAGATTGTTAGCTATGTAGTAGTGTTACACGTAAATCGAGTTTTTTTTTTTATTGAGAAGTTTATGGTTGGTTTATAAGAAAGTATTAGTCCTAACTTAGCCGTAACTTAACCTTAGTCCTAAAAAGTTAAATGTACAAAATGTAATGTATCGGTTTATAAAAATCTTAACCTTGCCCTAGTTCTATACATTACATTTTGTACATTTAAATTTTTAGGAATTAGGTTAAGTTACGGCTAAGTTAGGACTAATAATTTTTTATAAACCAACCATTACATTTTTTGGTTAAATACGGGTTTAGTTATTTGAATTCCAGCAGAAATTATTTAGATTAGATTATATTGGTCTGAATTTTATAAATTTTGTTCAAAAACTTACGAAAGCGTATTTATATTATCTAAACATATTTTAAAATGTATGTCTACTATAATTTTTAATTCATTATTATTTACTGGGTGTAGTATTTTATAAATAATCATTAATCACTAATAAAATACACAAGAACAAGATAACTAAACTAAACAACTACTCGACATCATAGGTTTTTAATACATAAAGCTGAGATATAAGGTATAAGTGAGGTTAATTACATATACTTTAATGAAAACATACTAGATCAATGAATAAAAATATGAGAACGGAAATCGTAATAACATATTATGTTTTGTGGTAATAACTGTCAATCGCTAACAAAATGGTGGAAATATGGATGACGCGAGAATCGCGAGATTAGTATACTCATAATGTGGTGGGGCCAGATGATAAAGGTGTTATCAATATATCACTACCAGCACTTCCCTTTCGAGAAATAGATTTAAATATTTATATAGAAGTGAGAAATAATACTATAAGCTGCTAATCATTTGATATTCTTAACGGACTTACAAATATAGATTCCTCAGGCTTAAAATCATTATGTCCATAATCGTCGTTTACACAAGGATAACGCCTCTTTCACACGGACGTTGTTTTGCCGGTCGGTATTTAAAACGATCGGCAAAACGACTAAAATTTCAAATTACAAGTTAAATAGAGCTCTACACACAAAAACGTCGCCGTCGGGTCTGACGGTCGGCTACCGACCGGCAAAACAACGTCCGTGTGAAATAGGCGTGAAGCCAAAGAGAATAAACTAATTTTCTTTGGCTTCACTAAGAAAAAGGGTCAGGGAACTTTATTACATGTGTAAACACAGTCCTAACATACACAAAAGTACATGGTCCTCTAAACAAAGCAATATACAGAATGTACAATTTTTATAATTTATAATGTAAAATTGGAAAGAAAATACCTCGAAACTATTATAAATTAATATGGTTTGTAAAAATAAAAAAATGCACTTGATTAATAATATAGTTTTTATTGGATCAGTCTTACGTAGTAACATTCAGTACAAAAAAAATATAAGTTAATGTATAAAACTCACTCACTGTCGAATCCAAACATTGTACAAACAATAAAAATGTAATAATTCTACAGATATATGATCACTGGGTGCAAATTACTGGCGATTTTTCTCTGTGCCTTCGTGGATTACGGGAATGCTCTTCTCTTCGAGATCTTCGACCCGTCTACGAGCCGTGATGGTAAGGACACCATCAGTCGACAAACTGGAGACGACACTTTTTAAATCGTGCCCCTTGGGCAACACAAACCTCTTGATTAATTGCTTCGAAATAAATCCCTCATCATATTTTTCATCGTGTTTCGCTTCTATTTCAACTGCGTTTCCATCTACCGTTTTAACCCTAATTTCCTCGGGTTTGAAGTCTTGCACGTCAAGTTTTAGCTGGAATTTTTCTTTGTCCTGAATAACGGCGTCCCCCTTCAACAAATTTTCGTCGAAATCTAAAATGTGTCTTGGCCTTTTAACGCAGTATAATGTTGGATGAAAAAGCTCTTCCGTCAACCTCATTTGATTCTCCAGCTTTCTGAGGGGTCTCAACACGTCGCGAAATACAAGAGGCAAGAGGGACATCTTCACCTTCCAATTTCTAAAACACTTCGATAACGATAGTCACTCGACACTTTCAATTTGAAAATTATGAAACGCATAGATAATAGAGGAATGAAACGAGCGTCGTGGAACACGCTTATATATATATATGGATCCAAAAGAAAACATTTGCGCAGGCGTAAGTTGTAGATTATTTTTAATGGCGCCTAGACTAGTTTAAAGAATTTTCTGGAATAATATAGAAAGGGCTAGAATGAAAGTGGATGCGTTCATTATTTTTCCGGATATCTTAGTTATAAATATGTTTTGAAAATAGATTTACAAAAGCGTTATTTTTATTATTATTTCACATTTCACAATGTTGAGAAAGTCCAAAATTAGCGCCGTTGTATCATACGAACTCGAGTAAATAGAATGAATTACGAGAGCATGAAGTTAAAAACAGATAGAATTATTTGCTATCATTTAAATCCATGACTAACAAATAACAGATACAGGAACAAATTTAATTTAATCAAGTGCATAGCAGTTATAAAAATATTTGGACATCTAGAGATAGAGAGGCGAGCTGTGAAGAGAGAGAGAACAAGCTTAAGCCTACTTTATAGTTATAATTTTTTCTCTGATTTACCCAATCAAAAAGACGATAATCTTTCAAGGCGTTTTTTATTCTTCATTTTGATTGGCTAAGGTATAACGAAACGCAGAGTGTTGATTAGGGTTTATCCAACGCCACAATTTTTCGTTTCTGCGTTTGCGCAGACGACGGAAAACAACGAATCTGGTCGTCAGTTTATGACGTCACTCAATTTGTCATTGCATTCCGTTCTGTCAATGTCATTTAATTCTATTTCCATCTGCATTATTCAGGAAATAGGAAATTATGCGATGTGTATATTGTGATTTTGTGTAAAAATACGTGAATTTCTCTACAAAAACATTATAAATTATTTGAACTTATAGTGATTTATTAATTTTTATTATTTGCTTTACAGATTAATTATCGTTACGTTAACGTTACTTTCATTTTATTATAGGTAAGTCAAAATGGCGGACTTTAGTTCATTGTGCCTTTCTCTTCTGGTTGCTTTTTTGAGATTCTCAGTATGTGAGAGGTTGATGTACCTAGAAGTATTATTCCGCAATTTTTAATACAAATTTTAAGATATATGCTAAAATATACGTAGACAATTTTTTATTTTTGTCTTAATTTAAGGTCGACTGCCCCTCACGAAATTGACCCGTATAATCAGTTTTGCCACGTTAAGAATATATTTCTCAGTTCTCAGTTGTATAATTCATAAAGACGCCCCACTAACTTTTGTTTTTTGAGTTTTGTAGAATTATTGTAGTTTGAAGCATTTTTAAACAATTGAAGGAAAAAGTTACGTATATTTATTGTCGTCGATATTTCTATATAAATTTTCATTACAGGTTTTAGGATGACGGAAACTTCTGTTTCTGCGATTCCTCCCCCTCCGGGCACAGAGAATCCCCCTCTGGGCACAGAGAATCCCCCTCTTCCGCCCCCAACACCAAGTAACAATTCAGTTCAAAATCACCAGCAACAGGGTTGGTTACCGTATTATTTTAATGGTTATTATAATCCTCAGTATGCCCAATTCTATCAATTTTACATGAACGGATATAACCAACAATTCCAAGCATATCAAGCTCAGCTGAACAAGAAGGAAGAGGGAGACAAGATCCAGCCCCCGCTTCCTCCCGGCCCTCCTTTGCCTAGCACCCCACCAAACGTTTCACGTTCCCCATTATTGAATGCCCAAAAGCAGTTTGGGAATATCAGATTTCAGTTGAACGGCAAACGGTTACCAAACCACAATGCCATGATGCAGCAGCAGAGTAATTCTCCTAATAGTGGCGCGGCTAAGAAAAAACGCAAGCGTAACAGAAATAACCAGAACAACCAATTCAACCAGAACCACTTTAATACACCACCGCTACCCCCTCCGGAATTAAATATACCCAAACCAGCCCCACCTCCGGAGACGATGCCCCCTGAACCCCCACTGCCGCCTCTACCCAAAGGCGATAAGCCTCCTCTACCTCCTATACCGTCTCATGACTTGTCTGATATTAAGCCTCCGATAACCAACCCATCTGATGATTGGCCCGATAGTTTAAAAGATTATGTTCATCGAAGTTATGCCAAATGCAAAACTGCAATCGACAAGAATCAGGTGGAGATTATTCTCAAAGGGAAAATCACGCAGGCTTACCAATCCGGCCAGCTGAACAAAGACTGGAATAAGGAGCCTCTACCTAATATTCACAGCGAACGGCAAGCTTTCACGGGGCAGGTAAAGACTGTTCCCGGTCAGCTTGCTCAGTTCCAAAATAATAAGAAGGGATTGTCGCCTGGTCTGGGTGCTAGGCTGGGTGCTCGGGCAAGTACGTTAAGGGGGAAGAGCAAGTCTTCTTCTAGGTCTAGGTCAAGGTCTCCTATCGGAAGGAGGAAGTCTAAGTCGAGGTCCAGAAGCCCGAGACGGCATCACACACCTAGGTGAGCGATACATTGTCAGTAATATTTATTCATTAATTGATTTGAAGGTAAAAACGAAAAGAAACTAGTATTGCATTGTACTTGTATTGTACAAGTAAATAATCCTCAACCCATCTAAATTGATTTTGATTTATATGTAACGTGAAACATTTGTTTCAGTGGAAGTTCGTCGTCAAGTAGTGATGAAAATTTCAAACCTCTCGTAAAGAGCGGTAAAAAAAATAAAGGTAAATTGTCTGATAGATTAGGTCCTACCAAAAATAAGCTTTCGGCAAAGGCAATGAAGAAACAGAAGGCGAAAGAGAAGAAGGCTAACTTCTACGCTACGTTCGGCCAAGATGTGGAAGAAAACAACGAGATCCTGCAACAGAGGGCGGCTAGATTTAATAGTTTAAAGTCTTCCGTTACCCCGACCAGTGCCGCGAGTCTGGTCAGCTGCAGTAAGCGGCAAAGCTTCGTAGTTGATAAGCCTTTTGAGGACAGTAATGCCATGGACTTCGACTGGTCGGATTGTCACATTGTGGGCACGTGTCAGGATTTGGAAAAATCGTTCCTTCGTCTGACGAAAGCCCCCGATCCGTGTGATGTTCGGCCAGTTGAGGTACTTAAATTGTCATTGCAGAACGTCAAGGAGAAGTGGATGCAGAAGCAGGACTATTTCTATGCATGCGACCAGCTCAAGTCGATTCGTCAGGATCTAACGGTTAGTAAATGTCTTTTTTTACTACTAACATAAAAAAGATCAATTTTTTAAAATATTTTCAAGTAGGGTGTTTGCAAACTTTTCTTTGCAGGACGCATAATTCTTTTGTTTCGCTTCAATCAATTCAATAAGTCGTTATTAAAATTTATGTAATTTAAATAATTTTGCAAACGGTAAAGTGAATAGAAAAAAATAAATATATATTTGAGGGTTGCTTTCGCAGTACAGCAAAAATAAAACTCTCAATGGTAAAAATAAAGTATTTTTATTGAAAACTAAGTTTGTCAAAAAAGACGTGTTGTCGGGGCGAGCGTTCGCTGGAGAGTCCTTCTTGGTGTGGAGTCGCTCGCAGAAGTCCTTGGCCTTGGTGCCAGTCTGCCGTCGACCTTTTTTTTGGAACCCTGTTGTGTCCCAGGTAGCGTTAGGACGGCACTATTGACTTTGTACTTAAAAATGGGTCGATTGCTGCATGTGTTTCCACATATTATTTGTTACTACTTTGAAAAACTATTGAGACAAATACCTATTACATACATGATTTTTCACATGCAAAAAAAAATATTTTTCTGCCTTGAATCTAAATTATTATGTTTATTTTTTTGATTTGAAATTTTTTCGTGAATGTTTCCGCTGATTATACAAAATACTTCTCAAATTTTTATCATCACAACCGGTTTATTTTCACTTTCTTGCGAATTAATTTGACTATATTGCATAAATATTGTAATATTCAGAAATTTTATCATACCTTACAGGTTCAAGGGGTAAGGAATGACTTCACAGTTCAGGTGTACGAAACCCACGCGCGGATTGCGCTGGAGAAGGGCGACCACGAGGAGTTTAATCAGTGTCAGACGCAATTAAAAATGTTGTATAACGAAGTAGGTGGGTCGAACAGGAACGAGTTTATAGCTTACAGGATATTGTACTACATCTTCACCAAAAATACTTTAGGTAAGTACCAAAAATATACAGGTGTTTTGTTTACAAACGTATTATACGAATCGTAGTGGGTATTTATTTATTTTTATTTTTTTCTTGCAGATATAATGACAATAATGAAATCTCTTACGAAAGAGGAAAAATCCGATCCGTGTATCTCGTTCGCGTTAAAAATTAGGTCCGCTTGGGGTTCGGGCAATTTCCATAAGTTCTTTACGCTTTACTCTCAAGCACCTCTAATGACGGGTTACCTCGTCGACTGGTTCATTGATAGAGAGCGCAAAGACTATTTAAAATGTATTATCAAAAGGTATGTATTGATTTGATTACTTCACGTTACGGATAAATTTAAGTTTAAATTTATCCATTACCGAACAGTTTTCGTGCAATGTCCGGCCGGGTTTTCGTTTAACCCGAGACGTGCATGTACGGGGTGTTGCAATATTCGTGTTTCGCAGACAAATTCGTACCGGCTAAAAATAAGGAAAAAAAATCGCACGAACACGAAAGGTACACAAACACTTCCTTGTTGCGATAAAGTTTTACTCATTATTTTTACATGTTTGTTCCTAGACAGTTAGGTCTTCAGATTAAGTTAGATTTTGATGATTAAAATCCAAATACAAAGAATACAAACACATACCACAAGATTAAAAAATTAAAAGATAGAGAAGTTGCGAAGAGAAGAGTCGGTGTCGTCGCGATAAAAAAATTGGAGGGAGAAGAGTTTGAACATTATCTAACTCGTATATTTCTTTGGTCCTCGATCGTTTTCAAAATACCTTGTCTTCAAAACTGTACAAGGCAAATGATGAAGTTAAAATGTGATAAAAGTTTATCACCCTGTATCTCGAAAATGAATTGTTTGCAAGTCTACGTTCATATGAATTTCTTTTTCTTATTTTTTGCCAATGCAGAATTTTTTCTGTGGAATATTGAACACCCGCATGGTTTTGACTGAATTTACTTATTTGGTTTTAACATTTCATAATAGGAATAATGTTAGTCGCAAGCAATGTTTGCAGGAAAATCCATGAATCCATCTTAATATATTTCAGTTCATAATAAAATAAATATTAAAAAATTAATGATTAATATTCCTACTGCGACAGGTTTGATGTTAAATGATTCTTTGTCGAGAATTAATATTATAATATTTATTAATTTTATTTTACAAAGTTAAAAAAAGTATTGAAATGTAGGACCGTGTGAATCCCATAAACTTCATTTTTTTTTTACTGTATTGAATCGTTTTGGGTCTTAATTTCAATAATTGAAATTTCAGTTGTATTTAATTAATTAAATTCTATTGCGATTGCAAGAAAAACAAAAAAACAATTCGTGATATTCAAAAAATAATAATAAAACAGGTTGAATATTGATAAAGAATGTTTTTTGAAAATTTACAGTCGAAATAATATTCTAAAATCAGATCAGATATTTTGTGCATTTTCTTAATCCGTTTATTTTTACGTTAAAGAAAGTGGAATTTGCTAACTCGGTAAAATAATTTTTTTCCATTGATGCGCTATTAGTTTTACATTAAACCAAATTACAACTGCTCATGGCACTTATCCTAATCGAGAGGCAAAATTTTTTTACATGAAAGGTGAAAACTTGATAAAAACGTAAGTTAATTTATAAATTACTTATTTCTACATATTTTCGTTCTATTTTTTTTTATGTATTGGATAATTGTTTGGATATATCGGAAAAAGAATAATTTAAATAATTTAAAAACCAAATCAAAGATTTAATTTAATAAAAAAATATATATTAAAATTTCTCTGATATTAATGCACATTTTATTTTTCAATCTCTGATAATTTTTTAAGGGATGCAACAAAAAAATTAGCGTTGTTCAGTATTCGGTGTAAAAAAAATTACTTGGAATTGAATGTCATTTTCTATTTTTCAGTTGTGTTATTTTATGTACAAAAGGGATGCAAATATTTAATTTAACAAGTTTTATGCACAGTATCGATAGATTTTTACCACTTTTTAGTGCACTAGTTGCGTGCAGTTCGGAATAACCTCTAATGCATGCATGTATGCACGACTTTTAGATAAGGCTGAATAGTTTTTGGGCAAAGAGTGACGCAAAAATCTCCCGTTTTTTCACAATTCATAGAGAATAAAGAAAATAGATAAAAATATGTTTTTGGTCTCAAATTACTCGTCGTAAAAAATTAAGATGAGCATAACTTTTAGTTTTTCGAAAATTTTCATAAATCTCCCCTATTTAGGGGTTGAAAAGATGCCCAAAATGAAGAATTGAATATTACCAATAAATATAAAAACTATTAGCATGTGAATTTTTCTATCGAATGATTCTTGATACAAAGAAAGATTTATTCTCATGACTGAAATAAGCATGTTGAATTAGAAAATCCACCCTTAAGCGCGGTCAGAGGGTGGAATCATCCCCAAAAATAAAGAATATCAGAAATAATTGTAAAAATTCCAAAAAAAAGATGTTAAGATATTTCACATAGTTTTTATATCAACTGGTAATATTCAAATTCTTAATTTTTGGCATTTTTTCAACCCCTAAGTAGGGGTGATTTTTAAAATTTTCAAAATACTAAAAGCTATCCTCATTTCAGTTTTTTTACAACAAATTATTTGCGACTAAAAACATTTTTATGTATTTTTTTAATTCTTTGCGAATTGTGCAAAAATGGGCGAAAATTACAGGTTTTTTTGGTCACTCTTTATTTCTTTAACCGATTGGTTCTACAAACAAACTTGCATTAATTAATGGAAACATACTAATATTTTTTAGGAAGTTGCATTTTATAAAATTTTACTTTCAGTTGTTCAAATTTTGAAAATATAATTAAAAAAACACGATAGGTTTTAAAACGAAACAAAATAAACAACGTTAAGAGTTGCGGTATTTAGTTTTGCACCTTTTTGGCACAGCAGTGTGACTTGCATTACAGAAATATTTGCATCCTTCAGGTGGTTTTTTTATATCGCATTCTTATATTGTTTTTATGTTTAGCTACCGTCAAAACGTAACAGTCAGCTTTGTGATGCAAGAACTGGCGTACAGATCAACAAAGGAATGTTTAGAATTCTTAGAACAATTTTCCTTAACGTTTGTCGACGTCGAGAGGACCTCAATAGATTGCAAAAGCAGTATGGCTGCTCTTTCGAACATCTGAAATATTTTCTTTCGTTGTACCGGAAAGGTGAAATTATTTGGCTGTGTGATTTTTCTATTTATTTAGTTCTCTTCTGGTTGTCGTTTCCTTCGGAAGTCCACCGGCGGAATTCTGTTAGAAGGTTTCCGATTGAAACTGCAGGCGGGTTTTCGTGCCGGAGCCGGATGTAATTGGATGATTTTTCTTCTGGCGAAGATCGACTTTTCTCGAGTTGGGGATTTTTTCGCACAAGCCATTCTGATCGGGCTGGTTTATCCGAGTGATTTACACCAATTTCGTTGTTATTTAGAAGCCTCCCACATTTCAACACTTTTTGTTGCGATATAAACGAATCCGTGGTTCGTCGAGAGCCCAGGCGATGTCACGTTTTAGTGGCCGTAGGATTAAGTGTATGAATAATTTATATACTCAGCCATTAAAGTTCGTCGTTATTTTTGTATATAGATTGTATTCCATTCATAAGTAAATATATTATCTGATTAGTACTATTTGTTTTATTTCAAACCCGTCAAAATGTAGAAGAAATTAAACGGTGGAGGCTCACGGCTGGTTTGTCTGAGGAGGAATGTTATAATTATCATTTTCTGACAGAGTAGGTAGCAAAAAAGCAGGTAAAAAGCAGGTTTATAGTTAGTCCAGGCGGTATCTGTTTTAAAAAGGGTAAACTTGGGTAAAACGCATATGATCGGAGATTTTTGCTTTAACGGCTTCTAAATAACATCAGAAATGATAATTTTTCTATGCAAATAAAAAAAACGTGGGTTTAATTGTTATTGCAAAAAAATATAGAAAAGAAACAAAAAAAAATCATTTTTTTCTTGGATTTCTCTTTGACAACTTAGCAACTATTCGTTTTAGACAAAAATGGAAGAGGAAAAAAAGTTTTGTAATTAACACAGAGTTAGTTGCAATTTGAAAAAATAATTATTGTTATTGCAAAAATCTGAAAAAACTTAAAAAATTGCAAAAAATGCGTTATCAATTTTTTTCAGACACGAATAATACCTAGGATCTTCATACTTTTCTCAATTAAACTGCATAGAATCATCACACCAAATTTCATCCAATTCGGTTCGATAGTTTTTGCATAATTGTTTAAATTTTTTTTTAAATTAAAAAATTTTCAAAATCAAATTTCTAAAAATCTAAAGCCATTGAATACTTGAATATTTCATCACAAAAAGAAGAGCTCAAGCTTTAAAATGGTTCAAAATTTTTTTTTATTTTAAAATATGGTTTGAAAGTACTCGGAAAGACGAGTACTTTAAAAAAAACAAATCTGATGATCCGCCCACTATTTTCGGAGTTATAGCCCGTTAAAGTTAACCCTTATTTACAGCAAAACTATAAGAGTATAAGGGCTGGTTTTTTAATTAATAGGTTTGTCATTCCGAGTACTTTCCAGATATAAATTTTCAAAATTTGAAATCACGGGTGTCGTATTTAAAATGTTGCTCAAAGATATTCAAGACCGCGTGAATTCAATCAGTGGTGGGGGAAGCAAACACATCTACTCCGATCTGAATTCTCGAGTTCAAAAATGCTTTGAGTATTGCACCCATTGCCATGGGCAAATGTGTGAAAATGCTTACAAAACAGTGGAAGCAGACAAGTTCGAAATCGATTTTGAAGAAGACATGTCAGAAGAAAGTGCAAGTGAACTCGGCAGTCAGAGTCATTGAAATTGATATTTTGCAGTTGCAGGACGAGGAAATAGATTGTGATAATACTGATGAGGCATGTAAAAGAATTAGATTAGATTAAATATAAATAAAAATTGAAATAAATAGTTTAAAATTAAAAAAATCATGAAAAGTGTGTACTGTTTATTCAAGTACCTATCCAAAAGATTCTTATAATTTTTTATATAAATAAACAATAAAATTTAGATAAATATTTTAAATGTAAACGAAAAAATTAAAATTATAATTATTCACAATTTATTTTTTTTGAAAGATTTTTAGAAATTTATCGTACAACTAAAAATTAATACCAATTTTCAGTTATTTAATTAAATAATTATCGTTTAAACAATTTTATAATATTTAAAGAAACACTAGTATTACCTAGTGCAACATGCAAAAATTTTGGTCGTGAATATTAACATAGTAAATAAACAATAAATTAATCATTTTTTAAGTAACTGTCTGTCAAAATCTGTCAAAAGTCCAATAATTAATAATAAAAGGTAGTTGAAAATATGATAATTGAATTTTTTAAGTTGCGAGACTTCGATTTAAAAAAAATCATCGAAATTGGTCCATTAGAAGCTGATAAGTGAAATTTTTCCGAGCGTCGCAGTTTTGAACTCGAGATCGGAGTAGATGTGTTTGCTCCCCCCACCACTGATTGATTTCACGCGGTCTTGAATATCTGAGTGACATTTTAAATGGGACGCCCGTGGTTAGCCATCCTTGTCTATCGCACGGATTTCTTTACTTTACTTTGTCGCTCTCTAGCTAGCCTAGTAATGTCATCTTTTTGATAGAAAAATGCCTAATACCTTCTGGAAAAACGACCCTTGTAAAAAAACTTAGTAGGCCAGGCTTTTATCACACCAATAATATGATTAGTAGAATATAAGAGATAGAGTTTCTTTTTTTAACAATCATAAATGTGACAAAATAACTAGCTTAATGGAGTTCAAACCTATAAATAGCGTGCAAATCTCTGAAATTATAAATAATATAAAAACAAATGCTTGTGGTGTAGATCAAATTACTGTAGAAATGATCAAGTTATGTTTACCTTTTTGTTGTGACGCTATTACACATATAATCAATATGTCACTAAACAACAGCATTGTACCGAATCGGTGGAAACATGCGTTAATAACCCCTATTCCGAAAAAGGCAAATATTTCCCAGTTAACAGATTTGAGACCTATTAGTGTGCTACCTGTTTTCTCTAAGATATTAGAAAGAGTTGTTCATGGTCAACTAAAAAGTCATGTTGATAAATTTGACATATTGCAGAATAAACAATCTGGTTTTAGGAGCGGTTACAGCACAACTATATATTCAAACCCGTTAAATATATCCAGTGGAGTCCCCCAAGGATCTATACTGGGGCCTTTACTTTTCGTCATTTATACTGCGGATATTCCTAATGAAATACAATATAGTAAGGTGCATTTATATGCTGACGATTGCCAGTTATTTTTGCCCTTTTCAACAGATAATTCAGATTTGGCTATTACTCAAATGAATAGTGATCTTAATAACATATACAATTGGTCTGTAAAAAATGCATTGCTGTTAAATCCACAGAAAACAAATGTTTTGTTAACGGGATCAAATACCCACCGTGGTAGAGTAGATTTGCAAGGCAGGCTTTTGCTGAATAACACTGTTTTACCAATAAATAATCAATGTAAAAGCCTTGGCATTACTCTAGATCCAAAATTTTCTTTTACATTTCACATCGACAATATAATCAAAGCTGCGTATGCGAGGTTGAGATGTTTATACAAATTTAAATTTATTTTAAGTACGCCTGTGAAATTAAAAATAGTTGATACTCTAATTCTATCCTTATTTGATTATTGCGATACAGTGTATGGTCCTTGCTTATCATTTTATGATGCACATAGAATTCAGGTCTTACAAAATACATGCATGAAGTTTTCTGTGAATATTAAAAGAAGGTATCACATTACTCCAAGCTACATTGAACATGGTTGGTTAAAAATGAATGTGAGAAGAGAAATTCACTTTGCCTGTTTTATTCAGAAAATAATTATTACAGATAAGCCTACATATTTAAAAGAAAAAATTATTTTTGCAGATCAAATACACAGTAGGTCTAGAAGGAACCCTTTCTTATTAATAATACCTCGGCATATAACAGCTTCCTTTAGAAAATCGTTTTCCTATTACGCGCCTTTGTTATTTAATTCGTTGCCAGATGATCTTAAACAGATAAAAAATATCAGTAGTTTTAAAAAGAAGGTAAAAGTTTATTTTAGTAGTCCTCATTAGTAAATTCTTGTCAGTGATGACGTGGTATTAAAATGTAGTAAAAAACGTAGTAAGTTAGGTTGTAATATTTAGGTTTGTTAATCATACAACAGGAAAGTTATGTTTCTGTTAGATGTTAAATTTACTCCATGTCTATATGTATTTTCTCTTGTAACTTTATAATTTCAGGTTGGGCAAAAGCAGCCAAAGACTGAGCCCCGCCTTAATAAAGACTCTTTATTATAACCTCCTCTCTTCAGGCTGCTATTTGTAAAAAAATTGGCTTGGGAAAGCCCACAGCCTTCTCACATTTCCAGAGGTGTTAATCTGAAAAACGGGACACACTGTATATACGAGTTTATAACTAACTTTTTTTATGAATTTGAAAGAGAAATATAATTTTATTAACAAAAGCAGTCTGGTATGCCATTTTAATTTATCACTAATAAAGGTGGATACAATCCGCGTCTGTTTATTAATACTGATATAATTTAACAAATAAATCCTAATTCATACACTGAAAAACAAATTAAACTAATAAATATAAATAAAAAATCTCGCATAACACAAAGGCGGATTGATTTACAGATCATTTCCAAGTCTCTCAAATTCTTCTATAAGGTAAATCATGTCGGACTTTTCAAGGCCTGAATTTTGGAACACTATTCGGAAAAAGTTGGGATGCTCCTTTTGCGTTTGGTACGTCACCATCATGGTCCCTTCCTTCATCATCCTCTCTTTGATTTTCGGCGCTACCTTGTGGAGCTTCTCTTTATAATCCGGATTGGACTTTGCTTCCCTCAAACTAGGGGGAATGTACCAGAAACAGATATTTGTGAATTCCGGCTCTTCTATCACAAGTTCGAACCCTGGCCTGTGCCTGATGGTGTCTACGAAGAATTTCGTGTTTTCGAAGACCTTGTCTACGTGGCGTTCTAGTCCTGACGTCCCTTTGGCCTTCCACATGTACCAGAACTTGAGCACATCTGCTCTCCTGCCGCATTGGACGTGTTTGTCGCCTGAAACGAAACTCCCGATAAAAAGAGTCATAAATTTGATAATTTGAAACAACTGACTGGTAAAAAAAGTTGAGACAGGTTTATTCTTAATAACAAGTCATTTGGTGCCATTGGATAGCTTGTGTAAAAACTATGTCATAGATCTTTTTTTAAATGTAAATTTTAACCTATAATATTTACATTCATTACTTATTAAAAGTATTAGGTATGTCAACATTCTAATTTTTCTTTGTTTGTCTTCACTTGTTTGTTTAACAAAAAATTGAACCCAAATTGAAGTAAACGGAAATACAGTTACTCACCTGTATCGTACTTCGTGTCGTAGAACTTGTCTTTTTGGAAGAGGTATGCAGCATTAGCAGAATGAGTAGCTGAGAGAATTCCCTCGTGGCGCAATAGCAAAGTAGAGCACTGCTGTGGGGCCGTTAATAGTTTATGGGGATTCCAAGTGACTGAGTCGGCCCTGAAAAAAAAAAAAATAAAAATATTGGTTTGTAAGAATTTCCCACTTTATCTGCTACACCGTGTATAGTAAAGTTGTTATATAAACGACAAGTTTTAAAAAACACATAATAATAATATTGTTCACATTAAATTTGGAAAAAGTGTACTTAACAATTAGCTATAATTGAGGTATATCTACTGATTAGCATAATTACCACTCATAATTAATAATTTGAAATTCAAAAACTGGTAGGTATGGAACTTTCAAACAGCACGAAACTAAGTAATTAATTAATTTTTAATATGTCTGAAGGTTTGTCATATTCGACGGGATATTATAATATTGTCAAGGGTGAAGTTATATCATAATACGCTTTCATGTAAACAAATATAAAAATATAATCTAGGTAAAACTATAACAATATAATAACATTTGTCTGCGATATTAAAATGGCATTCATTGTGCACAGAACCCTGCACTTATTACGTTAAAAAGTAGTCTCGGTCAAAATTGAAAATTGCTGAGGATACCTACGAACTATTTTTGGGGCCTCTTGTAGTTAAAAGTCCCAAAAACGTCTAGAGCCTATAAAAATTGTCCAAAATGGATTTTTTTTATATAAGTTGCAAAAACGGTTTTTCTAAAATAACTAAAAAACCACAACTCTCATCGAAAAATTTTAAATTAAAAAGTTGTAGTTTTTAAAAGGATCTATCGACTGATTTTTTGTAAGTATCGATTGCTTTATTACTTTTTGAGATATATCGAAAAAACCGTTAAAAATTCTCTCTTCCCTCTTTTTCTATAACTCGTTTACGTTTACGTTTCCATACTTGCTATTTACTATAAGCATAGTCCGCGTTAAGCCAAAAAAGTGCATTTTTGAAAAATGCAAAAATATTAATTATTTTTCGCGATTTATCGATTTTTTGAAAAAAAAGGCGTTTTCGAAAATTGGCTAGATCCTCTCAGCGGATGGCCCTACAGTAACGATTTTCAGTTTATTTTCTTCGTAAAGAATTATATTACCATGCTGTTAAAAAATTTCGACGATTTTATTAATTTTAAGGATAAAAAAAATGACTGAAAAAATTTCCCCTTTTTGGGTATGTTTTTTTCAAATAACTTCAAATTATTACTTTATGACAACGATTTTTATAGAAAGAAATTGCTGACATTTTTTCACGAATTAAAAAAGTGTTTCTCTATGACCTTCTGGAACCGAGGTAAATTTTTTATTTAAAAAAAAATGCAGAAGACGCAATTAACATTTTACAGCGATGAGCTTGATGGAGGTTAATGTTGAATGCTTATATTTTCAAGAAAGAAAAAATAATAGAATATGTTTCAATGATTTTTAGTATTAGTAATTGTAATAATTAGTAATTAGCCAAAAAATTAAGGTATTGCATGAAAAATACTATTGTCATAATAAATAACTATTAAAATTACCATAAATGTAAAAAATTTACATAAATTAAATATTTCCAGGACTATTTTGCTTCTAAGGCGAAAATGACTATAATAATCTTGTCTATCTTGTCAAGCTACTCCACATTAAGTACAAAAGGATTTTTGTACGTGATTCAAAAGCTGAGATATCAAAGATTTTGCAAGCGCAAGACATTTAGAATGCACGTCATCAGTTCAGTGCGAGCGCGTGTCTGTATGCTTCTCTTTATTACTCAATTATAACATTAAAAATCATTGAAACATATCCTATTATTATTTTTTTGAAAATATAAGTATTCAATATTGACCTCCATTTTTTTTTAATTCGTGAAAAAATGTCAGCAATGTCTTTCTATAAAAATCGTTGTCATAAATTAAAAATTGAAAGTTATTTGAAAAAAGCATAACCAAAAATTTTTTCAGACATTTTTTGATTCTTAAAATTAATAAAATCATCGAAATTTTTTTAACAGCATGGTAACACAACTCTTGACGAAGAAAATAAACTAAAAATCCTTACTGTAGGGTCATCAGCTGAGAAGATCTAGCCAATTTTCGAGAGTGCATTTTAAAAAAAAAATCTTGAAAAATAATTAATATTTTTTAATTTTTCAAAAATGTGCTTTGTTGGCTTGCCGCGGGCTATACTTTCAGGAAATAGCAAGTATGGGAACGTAAATGTAAATGAGTTATAGAAAAAAAGAAAAGAGAAGATTTTTAACGTTTTTTTTCAATATATCTCGAAAAGTAACAAAGCAATGGATACGTATAAAAAGTCAGTCGATAGATCTTTTTAAAACTTACAACTTTCTCATTTAAAATTTTTCGATCGGAACTAGAGTTTTTTAGTTATTTAAGTAAAACCGTTATTTGCAATTTTGTTAATTTTTTGACCATGTTCGCCATTTTGGATTGAGTTTAAAGAAGAAGAAACTCAAACTAAAAAAATTTAATTTCCTATACGTCAAATTTTTTTTTGGCCGGGTAATAATTTCTGCAAATTTAACATTAGGCCGTCATAGAATGCTTGGACTAACTGTCACTCCACTCGCACCCTTAACTCCCCTTAAACGCATACACTTTTCCGATTTCAAGAGAAATAAAGCCCATGAACATATTGTCAACGCCATCCGCACCCCAATGGCCAAGAACCAAACCAAAAAAAGGCTTACACGTGTCTCTGATCTGTTCCACATATTTTATCAACTGTTATTTTGCTTATTATTCTGAATCTATAAAGATCATTTTGGACTCACCTTTCTATTCCATTGAGCAGTCCCCTATGTTTTTTCGAAACTAGAGCTCCTCCTCCCCAGGCAGCGTCCACATGGAACCATAAACCGTATTTCTCGCATATATCTGCAATTTGCACCAGAGGATCAAACGCTCCTATCACAGTCGTTCCAGCAGTAGCGCTAACCATAAACGGGGCACCGTCTTCTGATAGAGATCTTTGGATTTGTTGCTCCAAATGGCCGGCGTCCATACGACCACGGGGATCGGTTTTGATCAGGTAGACGTTATCGGAGCCTATTCCAAGGAACGAGGCCATTTTCTTTATGGAATAGTGAGCATCCTCGGAAGTGAACAGGACCAAGCGGGGCAACGAATGGAGACCCTTCGTCTAAAAGAGATAAAAAATGTATAACAAACAGAGATTCCCTCGTGTATCGCTTATACTGTGTTTGGGGGAAAATGGTATGAACTAAAGTTTTAGCTATTTTTCTAGCAATTTGAGAGCAGTACTTGGAACTATCACTTCTTCACGGTTTCAGGGATAAAAGACTAAATTAAAGTCCAATAAATAGATATTCGTACCAAAAGAATCTGAGGTTGTTCATAATAATTTTTGAAACAATGACAGTAGAAGCATATTTCCAGTAACCCTGTATATCCCTTCCAATAAGCATGCAAGAACAATGCAATTTTCATTTAGGTTAAGTGGCAACTACTAATTCTTGCATATTTATAAACATTAGGAATGTATAATAATTTAGTGTTATTATTTTATTAATATGTAATTAAGGATACATAATTTATAATTATATAGTAATTATTAATATGATTGTGTTCATTAGCAATTAAATGTATGAGCGTATGATAATGCAGACAGAAGTTTAATTTTAATTTCTAAATATTTTTAATTTGTATATATTTAAGTACTCGTATATAGAATTGAAAGTTTAGAATTTAGTTTAAAAATTAAATTTGAAAGAGATTTAAGTTTAAAATTAATTTGTTATTTGTTGTGTTTGTTATTAATTAAATTTAATGAAAGGAAATATCACGCCCAACCCCCTATTATAACTAAGGACGGTGATGTTCAGTACTAGGACCATATCAAATTCGAAGTGTCACAAAAACTCTTACGAATTCATCTTCTACGCGCGCTTCAGATGCTAGTGGTAATTTGTTCGTATATTTACCGAATTTATAACCGAAGGTACCCGCTCTACTATTAAGGTCCCCTGTCTTTGTCACCCCTTGACCTGAGCATCTCGCGCACAAGATAAGTTTGACCTTGATTAACTATTAAGAGCTAGAATTACCTTAATGTCTGGCATGAACTTGTACCTAGCGCAGCTGATCGCGTATCCATTAGCCATGGAACCACCAGGACAAAAAATTCCATCCCCCTTACCGTCCTTGAAACCCACTATCCTCCTCATCTCCCTCAGCACAGTCTCTTCCATCAGCGTAAACACAGGCGACACTTCGTAGGTATACACACTGGGGTTGAGGGCGTCCGTAAGCCATTGCGCCACCAACCCGTAAGGGTCCAGGGAGGAAAACAACTGATTGGCGAAGTAAGGGTGTCCCGTCTTCACGGAGTAAAGGATGGTATCCCTCAGGAGCTTGACGAGCTCTTCGTGAGAAGAGGGGGTGGACTTCAGGTCGAACTGGAACAGGTTCTGCAATTCCTCGGGGTTGCGGTAGTTTAACACCTTGCTCTTCCTGCTGGTCCCTTCGAATACCGCATCCTTGAGTAAGATCTCAGTGCACTGCCTCATGAACTCCTCGTGGTCCCTCCTGGACGGTAGACTTTCGAAGGTCGCGGTTTTCCTAGTCGCGCACACTGTCTTCGGGCTGATTTTGACTTCCATGCTGGCGAAGGTGACTTCTTCGTCGGAAGAGGACGCGACCGCATCGCTGTAGGTGGCCGGCTCGTCGATGACGCCCTGTATGTTGTCTTCGCCGGTGGCAGGCATCTTGGATTCCTCGTGTAAATTCACACGACTGAATCATAAATGAGGTACATCGGAAAGACTCTGGTTTTTAACTTGATTGTGTTGTGGTCACGTGCTGAACCTTGCAGTAGACTTTCCCGCGAATGAGAAGCGGTAGGTGGCCATGGGTAGCACTAATCGTTTAAGGTGAATTAATGTTTTGATTGCCGCCGTCGCCGCTGGGTTTTTTGAAACGCGTCAAAATGCGGTCGTCGGTGTGATGGGATTTGGACGAGAAAAGCACCGGCTCTGATTTGCGTATGAGGTAACTGTGCGGACGTCCGAATTCGGAGAAATTGGCTGTACTTTCCCATTTCCTGTAATAAACTAATAAAATTCACTGGAACTGCCATTATGCATACATTTAGTGCATGACATTGTTAAAATTTGTGTTATAATTTATAGGATCCAAGTATCTGTAGTCAAGTAAAGGCTGGCAATTTCAAAGCATTGAACAAGCTCTTTTATTTATGAAAAATTAATCTCGCTGTGCATTAATATTATTGGTTCTTGTAAAAAATACAGGATGCTCACAGATAGAGAGGAAAACTACTTTGTTTTTCACTTTACGAAGAAAGATCATTCTTGTTAAAAAAGTTAATACTAAACTAATACTAAACACGTAATACTTTCTATTGCCTTCTACTAAGGCAAGTTCGGTATCAACATCTAGACGCTCTAGATGTGTTTTGTTATTTTCTGATTGTAACAGATGAAAAGACAAAGCGATATATCTGGAGCATCTAGATAGTTTTTTCAAAGTAACAAAAAGATAAGTAAGGCGTTCATGGACAAATTCGAACACTGTGATACCCTTCATTATCCGAGCCTTGTATTACATTTTACACTTCACAGGTTAAATAAATGACTGGGGAAAAATAATAGCCATTGAAACTTTAGTAGAATTTTTTATTGCAAATATAAAGCTGATTGGAGTCATCAGTATCTACATTAAATTTTATTTTCTTTATTTAACACTATGATTTAAATACATTTTTTAAATTCCTTAATAAATGTAAATGAGTACAAAAATAAAAAAATATAAATAAAATAATTTACTTTCAGGGCTAAAATAATTGCAAACCCTAGCAAAGATCCCTTCCGTACCTTCCATTTTATCCTTATATTTACAGGGTGTTTTGAAAAAAGCTGCTGCAAGTTGAGAGGTAAGACATAAAAATATAAACCAATTTTTTACTGTACACCATGGGTCTATTTTGTTCCTTCTTCTTAAAAAAAGCAATTTAGTACGAATTTGATAATGTAAGTTTTGAAGAATATTGCGTCAGTTTACTTTCAATTGTCTTATGGAGGTTATTAACTAGGGCCTTTCCAAGCGACATTCATAATATCTTTTTAGGAATTTTTTAGCTGTACCTCAATATTTAGTAAAGTTAACCTAAGTGCATATGTTTTGTAGGTTATATCTCACCAATACTCAAAACATGTCTGTAGATAGACATCTAAATAGCTAAATTATTGTCGGTTGACTCAACTATAGCATACTGACGAGAACTGTTAAGTTTGAAACCTGTATAGGCCTGGTCACTCCGCGGATGGATGATGATAGCTATTTACTTCATGTGAGGGGTATAAATCGTTGTTAGAATAGTTGTTTTATAGCACCTACAGATTAGTAGATAGAGTGCATTGACATTTAAAAGTATTTTCTTGGGGGTTAGATTTTCTGCGTTATATGGTATTTATTATAACTCCTGTAGTCTAGGGAACGAACAGAAAAATAGGGTAAAGCCTCCTAATACTTTCGGATAGATCCGATTTTTATGAAAATTTGAAATTAAGTTTATTTCACGCTGTAGATGAAAAGTTATATATGCTTGAACGCTTCTTATTTTTAGGGGATGAAAACCACCTGAATAAATATAAAAATAAGTCTTTTATAAACTAAAATCATATATTAATATATAGAATAAATATTATTTTATATTGTGGGTAATAATTTAAAAAAATATAAAATTAATAGTTATAAAATATTTTTATGGCGCATATATATTAGATAGAAATTGTTTCAATAGTTTATGGTATTATAAATAATTTATTACAATATTTCAACCCTTAAAAAACTACCCCTAATAACAAAATATTTAGAAAAATAGTTTTTAACAGTTTGAAATGATTTGGTAGTACAAACAGGATAAATTAAATACGTTTATCCGTTTATAATACAATTTATAATTTATCGCATTGTTTTAACCCTTAAAAACTACAACCAATGACAAAATATAAAAAAATGGCTTTTAAATTATTTAAAATGAATTGTAATTTTTTTTCGTAATAACTTTCTTTCTCGCGATTTACTTTAATTTATGCAATATTCAAAATAATTATTTCTTAATATTTTTTCCATGCAGTCATAATTTCAAATTTTCAAACATATATATTATTTTATTATGTATACCTATGAATGCTCCAAAGTTGTGGATAACCAAAATATTGATATGCTCCAAAAATTCAAGTGGCAAGATACCGTCGGTTTTTTAAACGATAACTTCCTTAATTTTAAAGCTATTAAGACAATCCAAAAACGATTTTACGGAAAATTTCGACAGCTAAAAGTACTGTAAAATTGAAAATTTTTTAACGCGTTATTTTTGAGATTTTTAAGGTTAAAGGGTGTGAAATGACCTTCGCCCTCAACTGCAAACTTCTAGCAGCGACATCTCAGTTAATTTTTATCCTACACAAATAAAAAGTAACCAGAATATTGTTTGAAAAAAATCTAAATTTTTGTGCTCTTGAATATTTTTCGTATCTTTTTTATTTTTAAATTAATTTTCAAAAATATGTAATTTTTTTGGAATTAAAAAAAATGTTTCTCAATCAAAACGTAACATTTTCAAAAATATGCATTCTAAACCGCTTAAATTTGTATAATATATTGTTAGCACATAAAAAATGTAAATTGTAGAAGAATTACCTTTAATTTTAAATCTCGTGAAAAATTCATAAGGTTTTGTACTGATTTTTTTCCGAAAAAGCTAATTAACAGTTTTATTTTGATCATAACTGTTAATTTTTATGCTAATGACTTAAAAGTACATTTTAAAGATTTTCTTAAAGTACTATACATTTTTCTTTTTTTTAGTTATTTTACTTTAAACGTTTCCAATTTAGTTTCTGGCAGACATGAACTTATCTTCAACCAGTCGTATCTCAGCACCTATTGCATAAATAAAAAAAAACTCTATTTTTTTCTTTATCTCTAAGTTTCATTTTCTTCGTGATGTTTTTTTTTTATAGAATGTCTATTTTCCGAGTTATTCGAGAAAAACTACTGAAAAACGTATTTTTTTAAATAAAAAATGTACATTTTCAATCACCAATAACTCAAGATTTAATTTAGTTTCAATAATTCTTACGTTTGGGTGAGGACGTTTTTCAAGGTGAATTTTAGCTGTAGCTACTGTAAATTCAAGCGTACTAACCCGAAAAAAATTAATAAAAATCATTTAATTACTTTTAAGAACATACTAATTAATGAATTAGTTCTTTAAAATTCTAAACCAAAGACAATCAATCGTAGAGCGGAAAAAACTGTCATTAAAGGGAGTGACTGATTAAGATTTGTGGTAAACCTCAATTCGAATCATTCAACCTCGTAATAACTTCTGTGACTTATTCTAAAATTAAAATTCCCTACTTAACATGTGTTTCAACAGAACTATAAGTTGAGTAATCAATTTCTATTGAATACTGATATGTATAATACTGTATTATCACATAATACGACAGCAATAAAAGATTTAAAGCATTTTTTTTGTGGGCAAATTGATATCTTTCCAAGGGTTGTTGTAGAATCATAAATTGCCCTTAAACAATATTTCAAATCCTTGGAGTTTTTCAAAGTAAAACGTTTCAATTTAAAAAGAATCTGATTTGAAAAATTCTCTTTTAACGCTTTTTAAAAAATGAACGATACTTTATTTTTGTCAATGCATGGAAGTACATAAATTTCAAGGTGTACTTTTTGTTTTAAAAAGACCATTATTATATTTATTAATTTATAAGGTACGTTTTACCCTCCGTAGTCTTCCGCCATTAGATATTATAGGATTTCACATAAAAACACCATCTACGTAAATACCCACTTATAAAATAAATACGATCTTGGTCAGCTTGATCATTAGTCATAGATTTTTCGTTTGGATACTTATGAAAAGCGAATCTAACCGTAATTAAGAACTATTTAATCGTGATATTTATTTTATTTAGTTCATGATAATGAATTAAGAGTTTGAACTGAACTTTATTTGCATTTTATGTGTTACTCAACGAAAAACGATCAACAAGTGAACAAGTGTGTGAATTTTAGGCAAATACTCGAACCACGAGTCTCTCTTTATTCGCGATAATATAACCAGCTTTAAAAAAAGTTATTTTTAGGATATAATTAGTTCCCATTTTTGTACTTCTTTCTATTTGTGTTTCGACTTTTGCTCTACTTGCGGGTTATAAAAATTTTAAATTACGCAAATGATATATTTCTTAAAAAATATGAGACAAAATTTGTTTTTGATGAATTAAATATGTGGTTAAAATTTTGGCACATTTTCTGGGAAACTCTATAATGATATAGAGTTTCCCAGAAAATGTGCCATAAAATATGCTTATTAGTTATGAAACATAATGGTTTCATAACTAATAAGCATGTTTTTTTCTACATCATGACATAACAAGAGGTTGTACCTTGAATTATTCATACACAGGGTGTTGTATTTTAATAGAAATAGGTTCATAAAAATTGGACTAACAACTTACTGATGAAAGACAGAAATTCACTAAATTTGCCAAAGCTATACGAAGACCCTCTTTCTAAAAAAAAAAAGAAAAAAAAGGTCACACAATCAGCAACCTGTCAAAACCTAAACACATTTTGGTTTGATTCACAAAAAAAATGCCAGACCTTGCCGGGGCCCGATGATCTCGTAGGTCCGGGGCTACGGCCCCCGTAGCCCATCTACCACCCTCCACCCCCCTCAATTACAACTTTGTTGTTTTTAATTTCAGTCATAAAATCAAGTTATAAACATACCTTTCGAGACGATATGATTTTTACACTGCAGATGTCAATATTTTTTTTCAGAGAGTATACAGTCAATTTTACTTCGAGAAAGGAAAAAGTCTTTATAATTTAACAATATTTAAATTATTGTTTTTGATCGTGTACTTATATACCAAATTAACGCTCGATTTTTTTTCTAATCCGACAGCAAATAGCGTGTCAAATAATTACGTGTAAGGTTAACAAAACCGTTCAATTGCGACATAATTATCCATGATTAGCGTACATATAATTAAAATAAAAATATTTAATTTACTTAACAATTGTCACACGGTAAATGTCCTATCGGGTTTGTTCCTATATAACTTCCTATCTTTCAGGGTCATATGTATTATAATAAATAAAAAATTTTAATTTATATCCACATTATAATTTTCGATATATTTACCTTGAAGGCGGAGCTGGATAATTTCGTAAATGTTGAAATCACCTCCGCGATAATATCGCATGTAGATTTGCATGCTATGGAAACAAGGACCTCCTTTAATGTTACGGACAAAATAAATTAATATTTAATGACAAGCACTATTGGAGTTTGATTTTCAAGAACAGTTAGTCTGGCAGAATTTTAGCTGTATACAGGGTTTTCTTCAATTCGACCATCAAACATTTGTAACTGTCAAATGAGCTTGCGGGGCCAATTCCGATTCTTTACGAAAATACAGCAGCTTGAAAGTGACCTACTGATAATGTGTTTGTTTTGCTTGAATTTTTCTGGACCGCATCCATAAAAAGTTCTTCTATATGTTATATAAACCGAAAAATATACGAATATCTTTTCAGCTTTAGAGAATTAAGAAGTTTTGCCTTAAAAATTTCTTGTTTCCCGCATGTAAAGGCAGAGTCACAGCGGGTATCGAAGGCTCTTTCTTTAAAAAAAATGTTTGTTACATTATTTGATAAGGTACCTACCTACTGTTTTACAAAACATGATTAATTGAGTGCATTATTTGAAAGGACTTTCCTGGTTTCGTCTGAAACAGCTAATTTACCCGTAGAGATCAAGCTCTCTTTGTAATACTGTGGCATTACCAACATTGTTCCATTTCTAGACCATTACTTAATCAGATCCGGTTCCTATTTGGGTAATACCAAGAAATAATAAACCAAAAGTCCGATTTCGACGGAAATATCTTCCAACAAGCGGTTTAAACCTGTCACTTTTGTACTACTTCCTATCTAATTGGAAGGTCAGTGCAACTATTAAGGTCTAGGTTTTTATTTTGTCATGTCAGTAATAGCAGTTTCGAATAAATGCACTTATTTCATAAGTAGCGTGTGCTAAATCTCAGTTTTGCAACTGCCTTTTGCAGGGAGGTATGTAGCGGGTGCACAAGCTCCAAATATCGGCGAATAAACTGAGACACAATGACCTGTTACTGCATCGTGATGCTGTCTATTTCATCTCATCCCGACACATCAGATTATCAGATACGCTGATCACATTATTTTGACGTGTTGAAGAGAAAATATTACTTGTTAGTAGTGTGAGATATTCGTAACTAAAATAGGTAAAATTAAAGGTATAAAGTCAACTATAGTAGGATCATATTCGATGCAAAGTAATAAATGAATGCCTGTCAAGGGATCCAGTGTAGTACGGTTTTAAGGGGTTTACAAATTGAATAATTTCTTTATGGATTAAGCAAAATATCAAAATATAGTGAATCACCCTGTACATGGTGGTTTAAATTAGGCGCATGGTCATAAAATAAAGTAAAACAATTTATTAACATAAAATATCTAGTACAATGATATAACACATAAGTAATAACATTAAAACATTTATATATGAGTTAGTAGAATCTTAACAAACTATAGGAACATTACTTAACAAATATACCAACCAAAATAATATGTGACTAATATCCATTGTGATATGGTTTGTGAAACTTGCTTTTCTTAGCTTACGATGAGGTAGACAAACTAGATTGTGATGTAAAATACAACAAAACATGTAATTTACCATGTCCATCTACAAATGCAATTTAATTAAAAATGTGTGTGTGTAAAATTTCAGTTTTTGTAAATTTTAAACCATTGTACATGGTCAGCTTCTGGTATTTTCCAGGGAATCTAACTGTTAAAACCTTATTTATATTTTCGGTAGTTTTAACTGGTCCAATAATCTCTAATTTTGTTTACCATGTCTTTTAGGCAGTGACTAATTGCTGTCCTGGACGAAATTATTTCAAATTTTTAAAGTGATGTTTCAGAACAAAGGTTATGATGGTAGTTATTTCACCAGCAAATGCAACATACTCATTCTAGGCTTAGATTTTTAGGAATGAATTTTTGACTAACATGCCTCTATATTTCAATAAATGGTATATTCAGAAAGTTAAAGAAAGCCAATACAGTTGCGGAACAGCAACTTTAGTTGTAAGGGCAAATAGTTTTATCACAATTATTTTGATTGTGTTTCTTTTTTCTTTTAATTTGTCACGCTATCAGAAGCGGGATAAATGATGAATATAATCTGAAGCTAGTGGAACTATAAAGGAAATTAATATACAAAATTACATCAACAACTTGCCTAATTGACTATTATAGAAATATTTTTCAGTGTACTTGAAACCAAGTAATTACTAAAAGTTTTGATTGTCAAACCATATGAATGACAAATATTTTGTCTCGTTTAGCTTTAAGACAAAAAATGATTCGAATTATCAGCAGCAATGATGATGGCATTTCCATTTATGCAAACATACACATTTTAATATATTTACAATCTACGACTATTAATCCTCTTAGGTATAATAACAAGGTACATTGATTAACCAACAATGTATTTCACAACTCAACCGATCTGTGTGATGATTAACCGAAAGTAGCCCCGCAGTTGGAGCACTTCTTCTCCTTCAGGAGGAGACAACAAAGGATTCCCGCTGGAAAGAATAAAATGGCACATAGAACACCTAGACAGGTGAAGTCGTCTTCAAGAACGCCGACCCTGCAAACGGGGCAGGCCCCGACGATGATGACCTCTGGATCGGGTACGATTATGGTGGTAGTGGTCGTTGTGGCTCCGTAAGAGGGCACTCCGGCCACGTTCGTTGGCGGCGCTGTTGGTTGGTAGTAGCTGTAATGCTGGTGCACCCCTGGAACAATGGGGAAGGGGGTCGTTTTACATTTTTATTTATAAGAATACGACAATCGTCATTTACGTTGAGGGTTAGAAATAGACATAGTTATTGTCGCGTAGTAGCCGAACAACTAAACTGATCCTAGGCCACATTATGTAATGTATCTGAATTTATTATTGTCTCACGGCAGAAACGTCAAAACACGGAAATTTCTGTCGTTACAAGAAGGCCCTCCGATTTGGCAAAAATAGTAGCTAATAGCAACTTAGAGTTACTCTGAATTGATATTAGTTGCTAATAGGTACTATTTTTTCCAAAACGAAAGCCCCCAAGGACCAGATGAGAGAGAGAGAGAGATAACAGCGGTGCTACTTTCCTTTCTATTGTTTAATATTACATGTTAGGTATCCAATAAATTATTAAAACAAAATAATATTTAAGGTTTTTTTTTAAGTTGGTACTCTCTGTATATTGCATGCAGTACCTACTATTAATATTACGAAAATCTTTGTTTAAAAATTCTTTCTTAACCACATCCTATCTGCATTGCGCATACATATATTATTTCTAATTTAGATTCGCATTTCCTGCTATTTTTTACATCATTTATTGTTGCAAAAACTCATACCATGTTATAAGTATTTAAAAGTAAAACAAGAAACAATATTAAAGAATTCACAGAACCCAGTTAATTACGTAAAACCTTCAACCACTAATTGCATTCTACCATCACTACTTCCATTGTTTCTTTTTCCTGTAGTTCAAGGCTTAACATTGGTTATGTAGCGTACAGCTATACTGCATGATGAACTACAATCACTGCCTCAGGTACCTCTAACTTCTCTCTACTTTCTAAAAACCATTGCTTTTTTTGTGTTTATATTTTTTTAAACGTCTAAGCGTCTGATGTCCGTAGATATTTTTTTTGACGATTAAAATGGGTGGATTTTTTATTCCACAAGACATTCAGGGTCTGTTACGTAATTCGCATAATTCTACAACGAAGTATGTTTATTACAAGTCTTTGTTCTGTTACTTTTAGTGTAGATTACGAAAATTAGAACAAACAAAACCATAATACGATTTTACGAAGATATAAACTGTGGTCACGTCGCCGTAGTCTTGAAATTACACGGCTGCTCTGATTTAATAGAATGTTAAACACTGCTTTGAAAATATGCAACCTCAAAAATTAATAGAAGTTCTAATATATATGTATCTTTAATTTTTACATATTATACACATTTTTAAGTACCACTAAACTAGACGCTTCTTATACAACTAAATAAAATATTAATTACTGTTTGCATTTTCAAATTAAGTATTGCTCTAAGAAAAGTTGGCAGGTCTGAGCCTTTTCTAAACAAATGAACAAACAAACAGAAACAAATAGTGGCTCTGGTGAAATTAGCAGTTTAGTGGTGTATTCGAAGAGTATCATGTATTTACATTTCTAATATTATATTAATATCTGTGTTAAGTTAAAGTGAAACTGTATTATTATATTGTGTTTATTGTGTAATGGTGAAGATTAAATTAGGCGGATAATCCCGTAAGTTTTTAACGTCTTTAGAAATAATATGTAGCAGATAGTAGTTATAAAAATGTAATTTGACGTATGTAAAATACACGCCTACTTTTTATTTATTGAAACCAGTAGGTAGGTATTTGTTTGGTATTTGTTGAAAACTCTGGAAATACATTTATATTTCATTCACGTATAATCATCTAAAGGCATGATTAGTTAAATAATCACTCTATCACTCAAGATACTGGCAATAAATATTTCAGTTCAGTCATCACTACTAAATTATTTTTTATCTCGATTATAAATTTTGATCTGAAAAATATTACCTATAAAATATAAGAAGTTTTGCTAGTAGGTAACTACAAACCATAATATGTCAAATTTAAATAGGAGTACCTAATTGCGTTTTTTTGTCTTGGATTTGTTTTAAATATCTGGAATCTAGAATAGTGGTTATATTTAAAGAAAACGATTAAATTGAAACTAAAACAATGAATGACAAATACCTAGTTACACATAAACTGTATAAGAATTACTTGTTATCAATATTAGCAATGTAATGAATATTATTTTGCCATTAATTTAATACTTCTTATCATGTTATTTATTTAATTTATCTGTAACCTCTAGAGGGTGGATAATATCGAATTTGTGTCACTAAAATGGACATTCTTTACAAAATGTAATTAACTACCTAGTTTAAAATATAAGCAGTGCAAACCAAATAAAATAAAATTTCAGTTATTAAAACGACTGATTTACGTATTCCAGCTGGTATTTTAGTTATAAGGTCATTACACAGAATCCTGTAAATAAATTGTACTTTCTTAACAACCATATAAAAATATATTTACAGCTACCTAAATACATGTAAAGTTAGGTTAGCTCTACATTTAATTATTTATGCAAAGGTTTAAAATATGGATAAACATATCAGAAATAATTAACTAACCTGGAAGAGGCTCCACCGAAGGCTCCACAGTATAGGGGGGTGGTGGATCTTTATAGGGTTGCATTATTTTTTTTTAAACCACAATCTAAAGTCTGAAGATCACAATACGTTTGAGATTTCACAATAAATGCCTTTGACAGATGACAGCTAGTGTCTGTATGTTTTGTGGATGACAGGAAATACCTACGTAATGATTTCATTGATATTCAAACATGACCTTTAAATCTATTAGATAAGTATTAGCATATCGTATTCAAAATATTTTGGCTTATCACAGCCTGTCAAAGCTATTATTTTTTTTTATTTAAATGTGTGCTTTATATACAATGTTTATGAAAATAGTAATTTTAGAAATTATAGATTTTAGTGAACAGAAATCTGATAAGTGAGTGGTTGTAGTTTCACTACTGGACAGTAGATGTCGCGGTATGTAATAAGTTGGACATTTTTGCGTCTACCCCCAGTAAATTGAATTTATTGTTCATCTGTTTAGATTTTTTTGCCTATTGCATTTGAGACTTCATTAACATAATACATGTAAGAACAATACAGAACATAGGTTCAAACCTTGTGGAAGTACGGAAAATGCTCTAATCTAAATTGATCAAAGTGCATATTATTATATGCTACCACAAATCGTCTTGTTTTTATACAATAGTATGTCTTTATACAGGGGAGTGAATTTGAGCATGATTTTAAGTAAAAAAAGTTCATATAAACATACGTGTGTAAATGCTTCGTTACCATGATACAGGGCGTTAAAATTTTAATAATTTTTCTGTTTTTTGTTTGTATCTCCCACAATTTTTGAGATATATTGCTCAAATTTGGAACGTAGCCTAATGTCTCTTGCAATGATTGTTTTCGAGCAAAAAATAAATAATGACTTCGTGTAACTAACTAAATGAAAAGCCGAATTTCAAAATCCCACCTTCAATAAGTCTTCTCCTCAGGTGCATTAGACTCAGCTATTGAGTTGTAAATTACTACAGTAGTCATCTTCGGTGTCGTCTTGATGATTGGTGTTAATTTACCCAATTAAAGTTTCAGAATTCGGTCCTAATGAAAAACGTGTCCGGAATGAAGTAATTATTTTTCCAACTTTCTTATAGCAGTTTAATTGGGGAGTTTTGTTGCTGCGTTCCGAATTTAATCAACTTTTACAGCGGTAATAAAACCCCGCGTTGGCCCACTCGCCGACCTGATTAAACGAAATAATTATGTCCTTTAATGACAAAAACTTTCTCTAAGTCGTCTGGGTTCTCCTCTAAAACTGTACCCGATAATCCGCAACATCTGTTACTAACTGGTTAGTTTAAATATTTGGCACGATTTTGGAAATTAACAAAATTTCCGAATTTATATACTTTCTTAACTATTACTAACAGCATGTCCTTAGGATATGAAGTGGTCGACAAAGAGTATTTTTCTTTTGAATTATACATAAACCTTTTAACAATAGCAACTTGTGAACACTGAAATAAACGAGCTAATATACAGCCAATTAATTTTCAGGTTGATGAAGAGCTTCGCTCCAAGAAATTACAAATAATTTACCTGTAATTGGTCTCTGAAGCCTCAAAATAAAGGAGCGGTTAATTGAAATATATACCTACCTACTCCTGTTTACAGAAATAATTCACAATTTCCGTTTCCATCTCAAAAGAATCCTGATGTTTTCATTAATTTTATGACAAAATTTTTGGTTAAAAAACAAACTACTCGTCAGCGTTGTGGTTTATTACTCATTTGCCACCATTACGCATAATAGCGTACTCTTCTAGCACTATATATAGTCCAGTGACTGAAGGCGAAAATAAGGTAAAAGCTCCCAATTTTTTCAGATAGCAAGGATTGTCCTGAAAATTTACATACAAGCTCATCTGACCCTCCACTTCAAAAGTTATATTGTCTAGATGTGTACTTTTTTCTATTTGGGGGTGAAAACTGCCCTTGTACGAAAAAAAATGCGAAAATCGCAAATTTACGTATTTCAAAGATTCAATTCATGTTCAAATATGTTGGATAAAGTTCCTTTCATGTTTTTTAATATAATTTATGAAATTTAATTACTTTTCAACCCTTAAAATCCATAAAACTACCCTTCCACGGCCAAAAAATAGAAAAAAAAAACAGTTTTTAACAGTTTAAAATATTCTTTTGGTGCATTCACAATGTTTTGTTATACATTAGAAAGCTTACGACTCATTACAAAGTTGCAACCCTTCGTTTTTTAGATTTGTAAGCTAAAAGGGCTCAGGAAAGGTAGTCTTGGAGTTTAGTTTTGAGCTTCTAATGGTCATAACTCAGTCAAATTTTGTCCTACAAGAATTTAAAAAAAGCGAATTGTTCAGTAAGAAAAAACCTACAATTTCTTATTCTATTCTATTATTTTTTTTATAACTTTGTTAGTTTGAAATATTTTGAAAAAAGGCGATTTTTTTAAAAAAATTGAAAAATTTTATTCAAAAGTAAATGAAATATTTTTTTAAATTTAGGCTTCTAAAATCGTTCAAAGTCCCAGAATCTACTAAATAAAGTAAATTGCAGAAGGAATATGTTTAATTTTTTTTTTCCGTCAAATCATTAATTTTAATACCGATTTTTTTCTCAAAAATCAAGACAATCATTTTATTTTGATTGTAACTTCATTAGTTTTCATGCTAACGACTTTTACCACTTTAAAGATCTTTTCAAGAACTTTAATAAGTGTTATATAAGTTTTCCTCCGAAAACCTTTAATTTTTCCGGTACAGAACGTTGAACGTTTCAATTATACTTAGCTATCTTCGAAATTGACTTCAACTTCTGGGAGACATAACTCGGGTTCTATACCACCTACAAAAATAAAAAAGCAAACTCTGCTATTTAATTACCTTCATTTTTGCTTAAGATCATTTTTTTGATAAAATTCGTAATTGTTTGAGATATTCGCGAAAAATGGCTCAAAATCATGCATTTTTTTTGGGCTAAAAAGAACATGTTTAGCCGCAAATAACTCAAAAAGTATTGACTGTACAAAAAATTCTTATAGAACATTTTTTGCTTAGAATTCGTTCCTCTATCGAGCCGTGAAGAAATACATTTTTTCGTTCCGTGCATTTTTATGAACGATGCTTTTTCATTTTCTGTAAAATTAAATCTTATCCATGTCCTCCACCTTGTTTAGAGTTTCGAGAAGAATTGAAATATCGAATAATATACAAGGTGTTCCATTAAAGAAGAAGCAACTTTGGTTCTTCATGACTTTTTGACTAATCCTGTATACTTGATTTTTCAATAATTATCTTATTTTAAGAGAAAATCAACCGTTTCCTTCCATAAATCGTCATATTTCGTCGTCGAAAATATGCATTGAAAAGGATGACCTACTTTCTCCTTACACCCTGTATAAATTATAGTCAACACTGCTACAATTCTACAAATTTTTTATACATTTTTTCGTGATCAAAGACTTCCATCATTATGACACTTAGAATTTCAAAAACATGTTACTTTTTATCACAATACTCAGTTATTTGACCAAACAATAGGTTTTGTCTTTGTTTTGCTGTACCGAGTCCATTAATTGAAAATATTTCGCCAGGACAAGACTGACAACATTAGGTCCAATTAAAACCTCCCAAACGGAGCCCGATGTCCCTCCTGGCGTCCGTTTTCGTTTGACGGAGAGGGTTTTGCGCTCTATAATTGATTCGAGACCAGATAAAGCTATAGATTCCCCGGTTCCACCTTTTGCTTTTAGCGCGGCACACTCATTTCCGGACGCCTCTCCGCCCCGTCCCCATGTGTAAATCAAATCGGCCGGCGTTGTCCTGCATTTGTATGTCCTCCGCTGCCGTATTGATTGACGTGCGGACATCGAATTGAATTATCTCTTGTTTTGTGTTCCAGTTTCCCGGATTCTGCATTCTGTTTTAAATTTGACACCGTTGCGTTAGCGTCCTGTGAGGGGTGCGATTCCGTAACGTAACGATTTTTGCGAGGGTTCGCACGGAAAGGGGGACATTGTTGCATCGCCTTCGACGCGGCTTACTTGCGGTTTTTAAATTTTTCATGGGAATTGCAGAAAATTGATACCTGCAAATATTACAACACTATAAGTACCATACACACCCTGTATGATACTTATGGAGGTTACCTCTGACCTTAAAAGTCAATAAAGTTGTCTTGAAACAAATCATAAATAAACTGGAAGATAATACAATTATAAATACGCTGGTACAAAATAGCTCAGGAAATATAGAGTTGGACGCGTTGAACATAAAAAAAATTACTTTATTGTTTTCTCATGGAAATGAAGAGAAAAAAGTTATAAGCGAAAAACGTGAATTTACGTAAAAATTATACAATTAACCATTCTGTAAATAATTTTTCCCCCATTTTTATGACTGTGGAAACTAATATGTTGTTGTACATAATATTTAGCATCTATAGTGATAAATTCAGCTTGATGAACCAAAAAGTCGCGAAATGGTCATTTCCCAGCTTATTTTCCTGGCCTAAAAAGATGAATAAACAAAGAAACAATGAAGAAGACACAATTAATAGGATTTCATACAAAGTAATCAAAGTATGTTCTTAATATGAATGTTGCAATGCCCTTAGGGCACTAAAACCTGTTATTATTTTACATTTGATCAAGAGATATAATCATAATCTTTTAAGTTGTTATTATTTTCTTCATAAGGAGGACGCTAACAAATCTGCGGAAATTATTCACACTCGCCTTTACTCGAGAAGTAATATTTTATTTCCCTTATCTGATACCCTAATTATCTCCTACAACCTGATACCAGATACTGTTAATTTGTAAATCTTGTTCGGTAAACATTATAATTAAAGTTAATTGTACCGTCAACGTAATTTACTTTGATTAATTAGCTGTGGAAATTTTCCATTATTCAAAAGTATTTCGAGCTTTTGCACTTCGCTTTTTAACGGAATTTATTAATCAAAGCGCCAGAATTTACTTTAAAAACATCGAAAAGTTACAGGCTGTTCGCAAATGTAAAAAGTCACGTGACTTAAAACGTGCCCTAACAAATCCCTTCCATGTCTTTGAAGGCATTTACTTTGTTGTTGGTGCGGTTTTTACAAGAATTTATTACCTACCTCGGTCTGGATAGAAACTGGCAATTCTTGCAAAATATTTCGT